TTTTATGTATGGACCTCTGCTATATTTCCTCTGGCATTTTCCAGTGAAACTGGTTACCTTCCCAGATTACTTACAGGCCTATATTTAATTCCTAGTGTCAACGAAGACAGATTATGATGAATGTGTGTATCTGGCTCTTTACTGAGGTGCTACTGTATTGTCATATCTTTTAACACAGAGCCCAGAGCGAATGTGGGTTGTTCTGCCCTTTTTGCATAGGGGGAAAGATTGCAAAGGTTATAGGCTGCAGTTAAGACAGACTCTGTGTAAAGTAATTTTCTTTCATGGACAAGGATGCTGAGATCTGTCCTTTCTCACCAGAGCTTGCTTTGATTAGTTAGTGGTTTGAAATTTAAATGTAATTTTTCATTGCAACAGCTCTTCTCCCTGGCTGACACTTATGACATTAGGAACATGGTAGAGAGGTCCTTTGTGATTTAAAAGACATTTCATAGAGCACACTAAAAGTTAAGCACAACATGACTAACTAACCATGTGATTAATTAGAAAGGACRATCTCAGATGTGTGCAGTGTAAAAGAATTATATTAGTAGGTATATTATATTAGTAGGTGATTTTCATATGGTAACTGTGGCAATGCACCATGTGCCACCGAGCTACAGATTGGGGGCCATAGTCACTGAAGTACAATATAAAGTTTGCTTGTATGTTTGCATTTCTATAATCTGTACGTTCTCTAACTCCATTGCCTCACCTGCGTGTGAATTTTCTTTTCTTTTTTAATAGTTTTAAATAATTTTTAAACAGTTTCACTCTCAAGGACTGTACTGTGCAGTATGTTAGTTATCAAGTTGAGGGCATCTATCGTAAAGGGAAAACAAGTATGAAATGTGTTTGTAAGGAAGCCAAAACAATCATAGTTAATGAGATACTGGTGGAGAAAGTTAATAGAAACAGTATTTGTTTCCTTTTGTAGATGTGAACTTCTAATACTCTATCCAACATAGGAGTTTCTMTTATATGTGCTTGTATGCTTCTCTTGTATGTGATCACAAACTCTGATTTTCTGTAGTAGGGTGAACAGAAAGATCATCTTGTCCATTTTTCTTTTCCAAATAACAATTATGTGTGTTTGTGTAGTATCCTTGAGGCTTCTTTTTAAAAAAACAAAAAAAACAAAAAAAACAAAAAAAAACAAAAAAACCAAAAAAAGGGGGAGCAGTAATATTAGAACAAGGTTTGATGCAAAGACATGACTATTAGGAACTATCTAGCATGTCTAACATGTAAAGAGCTTTAGCCCCTGGCACAACCATGCACCAGGGAGTGGGAGCTGTTCAAGTGCACACTGCCATCGCCTCTATTTCTGTAATGCAAGAAGTACTTTTTCTTTTGAGGGGAGATAAAAGAAAGTAATGCAGTTGTGTTTTTTCTTTCCCTTAACCATCTCCCACTGATGATCCTTTCAGGCTTTCACTCATGGAGAAGGTGTCTAGGACAGTTCCTGCATCACCTGCTCGCTTCATCCTTTCCCTTTGCTTCCCTGAGTATTTTTTATATTTGGATGTTTCTGACTTCAGTTTCCTTTTTCTCCTTCTGTTCAGGACGCATAGCTGAGTCAGTAGGATTAGCTATTCTTTAGTTTCAGCTGGTTTATACATCTTTTTCTTTGTCTTTTAATGGAAATGCCTGGGAGCCAGCTGTGGCAACAGCTATAAAAGGAAGAACTGTCTCTCTGTGGATAGTCAGCAAGTTCTTGCTGGGCTGCAAGTGGTCAGTGATCTGCGGTTTGAGAACTTCCCACACCCAGAAGTATTTTTGTATATAACATTTCACTATGAGAAGCATAAAATTGCATTCACAAGTGGATTTGTATTTCTTTCCCATTGCAAGGAGGAGAGAATGCTCACTCTGATGTAAYAGAGAAATGATTTTGACTCAGGAGAAGGAGCAGAAGCAGGGTGTGATTATGAGAGGAATGTAGTTAATTGCATGTGAGCATGATTTGAAAGAATCAAATATTTAACACAACATTGACCATGTGTCTCATTCACTGGTATATATCAGGTTYGTGATTAAAGTATGTTGAAATTCCGCAACAGCAGTTTTAGTAAAGCAAGTTGCAGACTGCACTTAATCATTTTAATGCTTCCTTCTCTCCTTGCAATCTTTATGGAACATCTTCTGTATTACTTAGAACCTGCCTTGTGCTCACATTATGTCTGTGCAGTACTCTCAGAAGATAAGCAAATGGAAGCACAACATTACATGTGCCTTTCCAGCATTAATTAATCAGTGTTTTGATACAAGCTAGGTTTTTGTTTGTTTGTTTTTCAGGCCCCTATACTGAATATATCCCATAGCTTCTAAGAGCCCAAAACATATGTATATATGTAATTATGTGTAAACACACAAACATACACATACATACACAGACACACATGTATGTTCTGGTAGAAGCTAACAGGAACTTCCTAGACTAYGGACTACTCCTGGAGCGTGGGCTCTTCTGTTGAATTTGAACTCAGTGTAGTATACTGCTTTTTCTACTCTGAAAGRTTCTGCCAGTATGAGAAAAGTTTCTTGTATTTTGTGTAATGATGTTGTTATAGCTGTGGGATCTGATGAAAGAAATTTGGTCGGATTAGTAGAAGAAAGCAGTGTATTTAAATTGATCTCCTTGCCTTGCTGGAAAGCAGCAAATATTGTGGCCCAAGAAAGGCTCACTATGTTGGAAATCACTGTCCTCTCCCCTGTCAGCTGGTTTCATGAAGATACCACTCAGATAAATATCCTTTGCAGTGAATATGAGAGCTTTCAGTAGAAGCCAGTCTTCCAAGAAAGTAGAAAACTACAATATGAGAGCAGACAGAGGATTTGGATAATCAAGTGTTCATTAAAAAGAATTCAGATTTCAATCATGTAAATACTGAAGTTTTCCACAAAAGACATACTCTTGTAATATTAGAAGGCTTGTTTCTTTTTCCCTGCCTTTTGCTTATAGCACAATAATCCTTAGCACTGAATATTAACTCTTCCTTCAGGCTAATCCTGATATTTTTCCCTCAGATCAACTGACTGAGGATATTACAGAGCAAGTGTACTAAATATCCTATTGCATACCGTATTTTGACTGCAAACGTAGTATCCTCAAGGCTCGCTTACAATTCTGAGTCTTAGATACCTACTTCTTAAATATAAATATAAATACATAAATATAAATATATAAATATATAAATATATAAATATATAAATATATATAAAATATATATATAAATATATAAATATATAAATATAAAGCTTTATGAGTGAATTTAGTGCTTATAACAGCAAAAGATGGATACTATTGGAAAGACCAGGATAACCACAGGGGCATTTTGGACTGTAGGAAACTATAACTAGTGACAAATCTAGTCAATAAAAAGGTGGCTTTTTGCTGTTTGTTAGACTACTAAGGCTTGTCTGTCTCTGCTGAAAATACCTCTCACCAAGAGAGGTGGATCAAGAAGGTTCATAAGCATCATCCATAAAAAGGCTTAAACCCTACCTTGAATGGAAAGCACTGAGCTTGTCTGCCAATAATCAGGTATTCACTAAGGGCCTGAACAATGTGATTTGATAGAAGCAAAAATAGGTAAAATATATTTTTTTGCTTCTCTTGTACTAACTGACTGCCAATTTCTAATTGTTAAAGAAATGGTTAGAAATAGCTGTCTTTTTTTGTGACTGCCATCTCAAATAACGGTGGTGGCACTAGTGCCCTCATTGTGGCACCTTACCTTAATAAATCTTTTATTTCAGTGCAGAATAACTATTTGGATTTGGTATTTTATTCCCTACAGTTGAGTATCCATTTTCATATGCTAACATATGGTTGTCCTGTTTAATAGCAATTTGACCCGCAATTGGACTAGCTACATCAATCCCATGCGAATTTTTTTTCACTTGAAAGTTATGATGTAATAAAACTGTTTGCAAAATTTAAAGTTTTCAAAACCCTGCTTGTAATTCTAAAGGAGAAGCAAGGGCCCATGGCAAATCTACGTCTTGATTTACATGCTACACTAAYTTTTAGTCAGTTTATTAAAGACTGTATCTGCTACAGTGTAGTCTGGATCATTTCAGTATTACACAGATAAACTAAACATGCAGCCTGGAAAATAATCAGTGCAGTTGGCCCATGACACCAGAGCTCAATCRCAGCTTAAAGTAAGGTTCCCCGCTACCGTCTGCTTCCTCTGTCAGCAGCTGCAAGTGCTAATGGGCCCTCCAGACTAGGGCTGCGATACCCTGAGATAAATGGGAGTAACACTTGTGTATAAATGTGTAATTATCCTCATTGTTAGTTGAGATTCAGAAAATCTGGAATGTTTGCTTCAGTTGTTGGCTTCTTCACTAACTTGCACAATAACCTGTGCACTCAACTCTTCTTTATTTCAGTTTCTACATCCAAAAAGTCAGGTAACTGGGAGGAAAACTGGAGGCAGCACAGTGTTTGCAGGGTGTTCTGAAATCCTTGTGTGATGTGCTTGTGTCTGCAGCTACACTGGGGTACCTGGGCATTTGCGTGTGAGCAAGGGACTCCCGCGGAAATGGAAAATAAGGCACTGTATTTGGTGGGACACTGCAAGTCAGAGGATGGGGCCAATGAGGAGCCRCAGCTGCCCTGATATGGGCAGGTGGCAGCAGAGGAGGAGGAGTAGGAGGAGGAAGGTCAGGTCATGGTGCACTCCGGTGAGCAGCGTGCGGGCAGGCTTGCTGTGTGCTGCAAGCTGTAGTGCAGTGCCTCCAAGCTCTCATCTCCCTACTTCCAAGCTTGTAGCGGGAGGTTTTGTAATGAAGCTGGGCTTGAAATTCCTTCCCTGTATTTAACAGGAGAGTTTGAACAGTTCTGCTTTTTAGTTACATATTTASAAGAGTAACTGTGCTGTTTTGAAGTTTAAGACACGAACCGTCCTTTTGAAGCCTCATTTGTGACTCACGCAAATGGGTCCCGGGCACAAACTGCTCCCTGGCCGGTGCCCCTGCCCGCCGCGCAGCCCCGGCGCGCGGAGCGGGGTCGCGGCGGAGCGCCGCGGCCGGCGGGCACAAACAGGAAGCCCCTGGCGGGGCCGGGCCGAGGCGGGGCCTGGCGCCGCCGCCCGCCCTCCCGCGCCGCGCCGCGGAGCGGAGCGCAGGGCCGCCCGGCTCCGCTCGCCTCGCCTCGGCCCGGCCCGCGGAGGCGGCCGCTGACAGCGCGGAGCCGAGCGGAGCGGCATGTCCCGGCCCGGCGCCCGCCGCGCCGCCGAGAATGAGAGTGCCGCGGAGAGCTAAAATGGTAACGGGCCGGGCCGGGGGCGGGCGGGACCCCCGGGCGCTGCTGCGGAGCGCGCTGCGCGCCCCGGCCCGGCAGTGCCGCCGCTTTGGGGCTCGCCAAGCCCGCTGCACAAGCCCCGTTGGTGCCGGTGCTCTGAGGAGGCACCGCGGCGCGCGCCCAGCTGTAGTTCGGGAGCTGCTTTGGAATAGTTGGGGATGCCGCGCTTCTCTCACCCGCTCTTTAGTGCTCGCGAGCTCCGTAGCCTGGGCTCCGTGCGGGGTTTGTGCAGGCAGCACTAAGGGGCTCCGACAAAGCGAGCCTCCTGTCACGAGAAACGAAGTGTTGCTCGGCTTTAAATGTTCGCTGCCTGCAAACTTGAGAGGCTCGCTGCCTAAGTATTTCCACAGTTTTTAAAGTGCAATTCCTTCCATAAGTGAAAGGCCAAAGAGATTAATTGCT